ATGGCCAGTCCAGCTGTGGCTCCATATATCAGTTGTTAAGCTTAACATGGAAATACTATGCAAACATTCAGGGATGAACTTACACACTTGCTTTACTTCTCTGGGATACTTCTCTGATTTTGTGATACTTCGGACTGGATCGGATTACATTTTTTTTTCTCTCCGATATCCGATCCAGTAATTTAGGTCAGTATAGGACCGATACCGATACATAATATGGATCAGTCCATCTCTACTACAAACTCACGCTAAATACAGAAAACAGAACATGAAGGATTGCATCGTCACACTTCAAAGAAGCAGCGGTTTATCAGTGATGTGAAGGAGCAAAGTAAAGTGTGCTTTAATTGCATGAGTCACATAGTACTGTCACTTCCACAGCTGTTTCCCCAAAAACATGTCCGTTTTGTTTCACTGTTTTTTGTTTGTTGTTGTTGTTGGGGTTTTTATTTTATTTTTATCTTTTTTATCTTTTGTGGCATTTTCCCTTGTGTTTTATGGAAATTCCGTTGGGTTTTGTGCCTTTTTGCAGCATTTTTCTGGTGTTTTCTTCAATTACAGTGCGTTTGACCTCTCAGGGCCACCATACATTTCTCACTGACAAAAGTGCCAAGCGATTATTAATAAAGGGTAAAACTTTGTATGATAAATATATAACTAATATTAATATTTGAACTTTTTATAAATTGACAGATAACTGCAGCCCTTCCTCCTTCCTTACTTCAAATTGAATGTTTTATTCCGTCGTGTTATAAAAAGTTAGCCTCTATTTGCTTAACATGAGAAGAAGTAAATCACCTGTGCATTCGGAGAGGAGGTGGACAAATACAACATGCTCGTGTGATGCAAAGTTAAATATTATGAGTATTATTAACAGCTTACCTTATCAGTTGGTACGTGTTTTTTTAAACGTGTATTTTTGACGCTAACAAGACCGCTTTCCCCCCTTTTCTCCTTTCTCAATAATTTTTCGATATTAGACGAACTTTTCCTCTGCATCTGTGAGATGCATACCGCGCATGCGCGCAGAGCTGTCGACGTGCACAGCAGATGCTCACGGGATTCAGTCATTAAAATATTGATGAGGCGCTTTCTTCTGTTGACTCGATTACACAGCATAAACACCACATCATTTCGGTCTCAGAATCTGGTTTCAGGGGTAGTAATTACCGAACTAATTACCTGAGTTATTTTTTTTTTCCAGTGACATAACCGGGAAATAAAGTTAAACAGTCATTTTTATGTAGTTTCCATATATTTAACTGTAGGCTTGGGATAATGGCACCTGCTAAAAATAAGTCACTCTTACATCCTGCAGGGTGGTGCTGTTTGTAGAGCTGTTTTAATAGTGCTGAAAGTTTAATCGATTCGGAGCACCAGAGAGCTCTTATGGAATATATCTTTTACCAGACATTCCACATTTTCAAGCTGAACTGCGACATCATGTGGACATAGTGCAGTAATACATCCTGCACTCTAATACACTTTGAGTCCAAAGTTGTTCCTGCGGCGTTTTTGAGGTATTCCCATGCGAAAAATATCCCCCAAATGGATTAACTGACTGATGCTTACGGACAAGGTGTCTAGCGCCTGCTGCATAGTTTTCTCACACGCTAGCCTTAAAAAGTCTCTCTGAAACCTCTTGTTTTTTTGTGTTTGCTTTTTTTAAATAATTTATTGACTTGAAAGCATGCTTGCAGCATGTTACTACCCACCTCACATTACATTACACTGGAGGTTTTTATCCTACCTGCTATCTTTTAAGTCCAAAGTTTAACTTTGGTTTGTGAAACAGCTCTCTAACTCGTTTTGTGTAAGCTTAACTCAAGCAGCACCATTGATTGTGTGGAGTCCTTTAACTTTTTTAAAAAGTTTGATGATTTCCCAGACAGAGACTACCATAACCTAATTATCTGCATGCAGAGACACAGTGACACACTCCACCAGTTCATGTGAATAAATGTGACTGTTTATTTTCTCGTACATAGTTGTATTAACCCATCGAAAATTAACACAGAAGTCAGGTAAGATTGCCTCGTACAATGAGTCCTATCATTTGAACTTTGCACCTCTTCAGGATCACGCAGGGAAAACATGTTTACATGCTTGAAAGTGCTGAGTTCGTTGGTCCGGTGTAAGGTGTTCACCAGATTTTCTATAATGATCTGAAGGTTTCTGAGTAACAGAAGTCTATTAAATCTCACAAACTGACAGGGTCAAAACTACAGACAATACATGGTCGGTTTAAAAGAGCATCTGTAAATGAAATGAGCTTGGTGCTGAAAAGCTTAGCTGTTTCTATTAAAAGATCTGAGTGCAGTTACGTACTTCAGTGAAATGAATGCAGTTAAACAAAATCAAGTTGCACTGAGACTGAAATCCACTTTAAAATATTGAGTTGTGCATGCTAATAAAAAAAAACCTTTAAATCACTGAGTTAAGACTGATTTAATCTGGTTACTTTAAAACTAAAATGTTCACTATCTTTGAACTTTGCTCTTCAAACCCACAGTCACAGAAGTGATCCAACCAGCATCAGAAAGGACACTTGTGATTGGTTAGAAGAGTTGCACACCCCGGTCCCTACCCCTATCTACAGTCCACCCTTTTTAAACTTCGGTGAAACACTTACCTGTTTCACTCAGGGCATTAGGTCTCAGTCCCACGCCTGACAGCAACATGTCTGACAAAGGAGCTTTTGATACCAATGTGCAGACCCTCACCAGGTTTGTTCTGGAGGAAGGCAGAAAGGCCCAAGGAACAGGCGAACTGACAAACCTGCTCAACTCCATCTGCACAGCTGTCAAAGCCATTTCCACTGCTGTCAGAAAGGCTGGGATTGCTAACCTGTGAGTATTACATTCTTTTTTTTTTAATTCAGACTCTGAAAGGTAGCAAAAAAAACCCCAGATGCTTCTGAATATTCAGGAAGTTTTCACCGTTTAGCCCTGCAACCAATGGTTATTTATTTTTCTTATTGAATATACTGTACAGTTTAATTATCTTTTGATATTTGGCTTTAGTGCAGCTACATGCACTGCAGCATGCAATCCAATAAAGCAGTTTTAACTTAACCCCAGGCCAAAGGTAAACCTTGCACAAGTGTGCACAAATCCACCTGGGGCAGAGGACAAGCAGATAATAGATTGTAATAGAATATTGTTATCATATTTATTTTATTGAGTTCTTAAATAGCTTCAGAGTGAATAGTTTGTATTTGTGCTTTGAAGATATGGCATTGCTGGGAGCACCAACGTGACAGGGGACCAAGTAAAGAAGCTGGATGTCCTCTCCAATGACCTAGTCATCAACATGATCAAGTCTTCCTTCACCTCCTGTGTGCTGGTCTCAGAAGAAGATGAGAAGGCCATCATTGTGGAACCGGACAACAGCGTATGTGGACTCACACCTATAGATGTATATTAATGTCTGAATAGGTCTAATATGTGTTCTTTTACTTTGAGAATAAAAAAATCCTCTTCTCACCTGACAGGGAAAATACATCGTTTGCTTTGATCCGCTCGATGGCTCCTCCAACATCGACTGTCTTGTCTCCATAGGAACAATATTCGCCATCTACAAAAAGGTCAGTGATGCTGGTAGTGCATGCAGATTCCAAGCACATCGGCTTGTTGTTGTTCAACACTGTAGAGCGGTGTCCCGATCAGCCCTGAGTGAACTAACAACAATTCGAATGACATTTATCTTTGCAGAGAAATAATTGGTCGTCAGAGAATTAAATGTACTCAGTATGCTGACATACCATAAACATAACAGCCAATTCAGTACCAGATCAACACACATTGCTGTCCCAGGGTTAACTGAGAACTAAATAACAAGAGGGCATATGTTTATACCGCTGCCAGTAAGGTGTCCTTGTCCTTACCTGTCCTAACAATATGTGATAGCCTGTGGTTCCAATAATAACTTTAAAGTTTTTGATATCTTTCCACATAGACCACAGATGGGGAGCCATCTGAGCAGGATGCTCTGCAGCCAGGAAGAAACATTGTAGCAGCTGGTTATGCCCTGTACGGCAGTGCCACCATGATGGTCTTGTCCACTGGTCAGGGAGTGAACTGCTTCATGCTCGACCCTGTAAGTTAATAGATGTCGTCAAAACTGTCACCTGACCGTGCGTATATAAGACAGTATACTGCTTTCCCCCCCCTCTGCTTTCCAGGCAATTGGCGAGTTCATCTTGGTGGACCAAGATGTGAAGATAAAGAAAAAGGGAAAAATCTACAGTCTGAATGAAGGATATGCACAGCACTTTTATCCAGATGTGACCGAGTACCTACAAAAGAAGAAATTCCCAGAGGTAAAGCCAATAAAATAAATAAATGAGAATCCTAATGTGGAATTGACCACCATAAAGGTCAATCTCTAATGCTGCATTGAGGAGTAATATGAAGTTAATCTAAGCATAAATTCTACATTTACTTGTTTTCAGGATGGCTCTGCCCCATATGGCAGTCGATATATTGGATCAATGGTGGCAGATGTTCATCGTACTTTGGTGTACGGAGGAATCTTTTTATATCCTGCTAATGTCAAGAGCCCCAAGGGCAAGGTGAGGAGGTGGAGCGTCTAGAAATGGTCATTTAAAAAATAAAAGAGAAAGATTTTCTGATACTTCATATTCTTATCATGTCACTACTGTTTTGTTTTGCTTTTCAGCTGAGGCTGCTTTATGAATGCAACCCCATGTCCTTCATCATGGAGCAGGCAGGAGGCATGGCCACTACTGGAGCCATGAACGTTTTAGACATCAAGCCCACGAGTATCCACCAGAGAGTACCCGTGGTCCTGGGATCCCCTGATGATGTGCAGGAATACATTGCCATCTACAAAAAGCACAACAAATGAGGTACTTGTGTGATTTAGCTTTGTGTACTCATGAAAGGATGTAACATGTAGGACAATAACTACATTTTTTTTTTCAATTTCCCCAAATTTAGCAGGTCAAATGTGGTGGTGAGCAGCCTAAATGGGCAATGACAACACAATCCAGAGGCTCAGTCAGCACATTCACTGCATTTTTCTCGGTCGCTCTGTTGCACTGATGAAGAAACCAGGGGCTTCAGTGGATCTATGAACTCATACTGTGCTGATTCTGTCCTGTTAAAGGGTGTTATTTGTGGAGCGTTACCCTGTATTTTTTAAATAAAAACAAAATGTTTTTCCACGTTCTTCTTACTGGGTTGTTAGGTATGTCTTCATGTAAAAACAATATTTTTTCCTATAAGGACAAAGGTCACATTTCAGATCTGAAAGAAAAAGAACTGCTGAATCCCAGTTTACTGAACAAGCCCAATATTCTGGAGTGGACACTTACACATATTTACATGAGAAAGAAGTCCAGTACATCAAGATTTTTGCTTAAAAATGTGCTCAGTGATGGTAGCATGGGCAGAGCCTGCTCTTTTTCACGCTCTCCGCCCAGGTTTGAGTAACCATGCTAGGAATGCAAGCAGTCTGCTTCTTTATGAGCTCTGACTTTTCCTGAATTTGAGCAGCTTGTGTCACTTATACATAAAAACAATGGTTTCCTTTGATACCGCTGCTAAAAATGCTAAGCAATCAACCCATTTCATTACATCTTAACTCAATGGAACTTTTCAAACTGAAGTCCAGACTTTCCAGGACAAGGAAAGTTATCCAATTACTTCCCAGCTGTCTAAATACCTATAAATCAGCGAGGAGAGGAGTTGATCAAATGTTTAAACAAACCAAAGCAAAAATACAGAAGAGAAATTTAAGATAAATCATCCCGGAAGAGACCACTCCTGTGACGATAGAAATGTTCCATCTTAGGATAAAGGTTATCAGAAGAACTTTCACTTTAAAAAAGGATTACTTGTGAAGAAAGTTATTAATGGGGTTTTCTGGACTAATTTGGGACTAATTTGGGATACACTGACTTCATTATTGCTGGCACCAGGTTAGAGTCCCTTTTAGCTTCAGAACTGCCTTCATTCTTTGTGGCATACATTTA